AAGGGAAGGACATGTAATTCAAAGGTGCATTGCGTCTACAAGATCATGGGAGTGAGTTACTTACCCAGTGCGCAGAACCTTGATCGTTATCACCTCCTTCAATACCAGTAGTAGGAGTTAGTTCAAGGCCACACCCCGCATTTGGAAGATTTTAAGTTCACGTACAGAGGATGGTGTACTGTAATCCACGCTGCAAGGGCGTTCTCGCAAACGTTCATTAAGAAAACGGCATGTGCTAGGCAAACACAAACTTGATGGCACGTGAAATTGCGTGCCCCAGTGCCGAAGTTCTAGACTCCTGAGAGGGTTATGGTATACCTCCCTGTTTTCCTGAGCTTATGATCTTCTGCGATTGAGCCACTGAGTGAAGCCCCCGACAAGGTAGAATTGTCCGCAGCAATCCAGCATGTGCCAAATTCTTCGCACGAACTTGCCAGCCCAGAGACGACAAGGCTTATGTCAGACTTTGCGAATCCATTGGTTCAGTGCTTCGTGAAACGCGCGGAAGAATTTGAAGAATGCGAAGGGCGAATGCGAAAGAATGAAGAATATTCGCCAGCGAAATTGGGTAATGATTCGCTGGCGCGTCGCTCGTTTCCCTCAAATCACAAAGAATCCACAGATTTGTAGTCTGATACCAGCCTAAGGTCAACAGATATTCACGGGATTCTACCTAACGACTACCTCTACCTAACGCAATGGAACTTGCCGCAAAATAGACGCCCTCTCGTTCGTGTCCATGTTTCATCTCCGATTCTTTCCTCCTTGTCGCCCAGTATCTCAACTCGCTGTCTGCCTTTTGTGCTCCTCCATTACTTAGAAAAGGAAGGCTTTCATTCCCGATGTTTTCAGTGGTTGTCCCCTTTTTGTTCACTGGATCCACTTAGCGTCACCCTTTCAATCCCCAGCAAAATTACCGTGTGAAGATTAGTGGTGTACCGTAAATCATGTTTCGCATCCTCATGCTACCTGTGGGGCTCTAAAATGCCGAGATGATTAATGACAACTGATTCGGAGCCAAATCTATCTCCTCTACATCTCCATCAAAGTTACTTATAGTTCTTCTTCTGCCAACGAGGCATTTTTGGTGGATACTTGATTAGTGGCCTGACGTTTCGACGAGGATCGTCTTCCTCAAAGGCCTAAACGTGGCTCTAAGGTTTGAGAGATGTCCTTTAAACCGCCAAACGCCTCCTCTCCCTAGCGTTTCTGGCGGAACGTTAAGGGGAATAATCGAAAATCGAGGGAAATAAACACCCATCCACCACCGCAAGAGCAGAACAGTGCCACTCCAGGTTAATGGTTGGTAACTGAGACTTACTGTACTGTCTTTACATAAAGGCTATAATTTGATTGGCACGTCTCAGCGACAATGGATTGAGAGCGAATTTTCGGCCATTTACTCTAACGCTCCATCAGAAACGCTGATGGGGAGGCGTTTGACGGTTTGAAGAACAGCTCCCAAACCTTGGGCCACGTTTGGACCTTTGAAGAAGACGATCTCGTCGAAACGTCAGGCCTCCGATACAGTCTCCACCTGAAAACCTTGTTGGCAGAAAAAGAACACTTTACAACAATGCTGAGGTTCCATGAAAGGAGAAGTTGGAGTTTGATTAAATTTACATTTTTTCCTATTGTCATCATGTAAAGTGGATGGTGATATTACTAGAAGATAAGTCAACATCCCTTTCCACGACAACAATAGGACAAAATGATGACAAACGACGAACGGCAACATCAGCGAGTCAGCCCTCTTGATTTTTGCTCAGCTTTTTTTCGCAGTTGTATTGTAGTTACCGGTTCTGCCGCCCGCGTGCTCTAGTCTTATCATCATGAAGGAACACGCGGGTTCGGACACGTTGCAGCAGATCGAAGAAAACGCCCCGTTCACCAAAGGGATCGAATACGTAGTAGGGGTCGTTTATTGCGACAAAATATACGGCGACCCGCGTCTTTACCTAGCGACAACAGGTTTCACGCACAGGTGGCGCAATAGTCAAAGGCGCTGTCAATCTCACCATACACGAGATCAAATTCTTCTCAAAACCATCAAATCTTATGTCGAAACTTGTGATTTTTTTTCTGAGCATGCTAGAAGAATAGAAGTACTAATCCAAATATTGGCTGGCTACCTAAGGTTATAGGCCATATGCATATTTGGTGCGGGAAAGAGGGCGGAGACACTCCGCCGCCGCATGGCTGGTATGAAAATAGCTCAGAAACGGGTACCCAACAAAGTATGACCTAGTCATGCACATAGTAGATCAAGACAAGTGTTTTCATCACTCCAGGTGGCGAATCCGGCTCAGCAGACACGGCTCGAGACCCACGAGGCTTCGCTGTGAAATTTTACACAGAGGAAGGAAACTGGGACTTAGTAAGCTATTAGACTTTTGTAATTTTTATATCATACCCTAATTGAATGCTCTATTACAGGTCGGCAATAACACACCAATTTTCTTTATTCGTGATCCAATCCAATTCCCTAACTTCATCCACACTCAAAAGAGAAACCCGCAAACACATCTGAAAGATATGGACATGATGTGGGATTTCTGGGGACTTCGACCCGAATCCACGCATCAGGTGTGTATAGCAAATAATTCAAAGAGTTCCTATAAAAAGGGTCATATGCGATCTTTTCAGGTGATGTTCTTGATGTCGGACAGAGGAACTCCTGATGGGTTCCGTTTCATGAACGGCTATGGCTCTCACACCTTCAAGATGGTCAACGAACAGGGAGAACCGGTTTATTGTAAATTCCACTTCAAGGTTCGGTTTACTGATTTTCTCCGTGAACGGTTAATTCGGGAAACATCTCGCCATTGAATCTAATCAGGACGCCACGCATTCCACTTTATGCAGGTTGAGAATACTTGTATACACTGTCGACCAGCACGGCAGAGTGCAAGGGCCAGCCATTGGCTATATAAGAGCTTTTTATGTTATGAGATGCTAACACATGGCCCACACAAGATGTTTTTTGAGCTAAGCGGATAAATTATAATGGACCGCGCCCGTTGGGGTGCGGCGGCTTCTGCGTTAGTGTGTACCAGAGCGTAAAAGGCGAGAGACGTTCATTTCTCCTCCTCAGCTCAGGTAACCAGAGCTACGCGATGATTGAAGTTTGAGCTGGAGCGCAAGCTTGGGCTCAGACTATACATTGACTCATGCTTAAAGGCAAAGTTCGGGCTCAGACCCACCTAATAAGCCCTTAAAGTGGCTAGAAGTGCATGGGACGCAACTGCAGGCGACTCGCCAAGTTCCCGCATCGAAATGCGTCACTAAGGCGCTAGGGGCCAAGGACTTTGACACGCTCCACCTGTTGCGACACGCTCCGCCCACCGCTCGATATCTTGTCTGCGTCGCTTTGATCTGCTATGCTCTCTCTTCTCGGACTTCTCTACCGCTCTCCGCGCTCACATTATCTCTCATCTCCCTGCCGGCCTTTTGAACTTCTCCGCAGCGTAGAGCAAAAGGCTCGTATTTCCTGTGTATTTCACGATTTTTTTCCTTTTTTCTCCACTGGCGGTCCACCTCCCGCCCCTACATCACATTTGAGTAGAATTACCTCATCAGTTTAAGCTTGATCTTGCCTTTAAGCCTGTGGTTAGACTTAGGCTTAGTCGGAGGCTTATAACGAGCCAATAAGAGGTGTCCTTTTCTAAGGTGACCTGACTTGAGGAGGAGAACTGCAACGCACCCATAGAGGGCAGAGGGCTCAAACATTCCAGTAGAATTACTCTTCTTCTTTATGCACTTATACCTATTCGCTCCTTACAATTTTTTCACACTTTCTGACGCGGAAATCATAGTTGCGCCTCCGAGCTTTGAAATCTTCCCACGTTCCAGGCACAAAAGATCAAGAACCTTTCTGCGGCGGATGCAGCACGTCTTGCTGGCGAGGATCCAGATTACGCAATTCGCGATCTGTACAACGCAATTGAGAGAGGAGACTACCCGCAATGGAGGCTCTGCATTCAGGTTAGCTGCTCTGTTCAGCTCTCTATTCGGAATCATCTAACGAGATCAAATACAGGTGATGACATTCGAGCAGGCCGAGAAATGGCCGATGAATCCATTTGACGTCACCAAAGTCTGGCCTCACGGTGAATTCCCATTGATTCCCGTTGGTACCATGACCCTCAACAGAAATCCGAAGAATTATTTCGCTGAGGTTAGTTGAAGGCCGCTTTCAATGCCAACCTTGAAAAGTGAATTTATTGGACTTATCCAAAACTTAATTCTCTGACCACTACACAAAAGTGCCTCCCTCTTAATAGTCAACAGATGGCTATTCAAGGAAAATGTTGCCAGATACTTACAGGTGGAGCAAGCAGCCTTCTGTCCAGCTCACGTGGTTCCCGGAATCGAATTCTCTCCAGACAAAATGCTCCAAGGTCGACTGTTCTCCTACACAGATACCCACTTCCATCGTCTGGGCCCGAATTATATCCAGCTGCCCATCAACTGCCCGTACAGGTCACGAGCTTATAACACTCAACGAGATGGTGTGGCTAGTTACGACAATCAAGGTGAGTTCACAACACTTAAAGGAATCTTCCACGGACCATGGACCAGTGGGCGGGACCGGAAGTTTTTGTGACGAAATGCATGGTAGGTACGGATCCACGTGTCGAACGCACGAACGTGAACAGGATTCACTTCAAACCTTCCCATGAACGTGGATCCGTACCTACCATGCATTTCGTCGCAAAACCACTTCCGGTCCCGCCCACTGGTCCATGGTCCGTGGAAGATTCCTTTAAGTGGTTGCTATGAGCAAATTCTTAGCCGGCAGTAATACAATGGCATATGGCATCGGTTATAATGTCCATGGGCTAGGGATCCGAACCCACATGGATCTTCCCATGCCATCTCGCATGCTGAAATAGGAATGATGAACGCCAAAAACTTTATCCTCATCCAACTTCCCACTGGACATAACTCTCCTTCTGTCTCCTGCACGCAGCCTCTAGCCACTGATTTGGAAAGAACAATCTTGCTTGCCGTATCACGTGATTTTAGACTTGACCCAAAGCGCCAAAATTAAAACCGGATAAGGAAGTCCCCTGCCCACTCTTTCCTACATCACAAATCCTCTACAGCATACTCGCTAAGTGTGACCGTTCTCAATCTGCGCCATATATGTACTTCACCTTTTACGTCGTACATCCCTAGACTCTTTGTTCTTGTTATTCAATAA